AACACTGCTGTACAATCACTTTATAAACATCTGGCTAACAGGAAACATCACTGATTCAAACGTTTCTGGCTGCCTGCTGAATATTGCACTCCTTCTCCCGTCATCTCTGATTTGATCTCCACTCCTCCCCCTCGTGGAAACATGCCCCCCCTCGCCTGTTATAGATTTAGATGTTTTCAAAAGCTCTCAAATAAAATGAAGAGAAATACAGTGAAAACATGAGGACAGATGACGAGAACTGTAGAAAACAAGTCTGAAGTGTGACTTCAAGCCCAGCCTTTCCCACCACGTCCACTCACTTTAACTATTGTTATCTGCCTCAATGCTCCACAGAGTCAGAGTAAACATTTACCCATCATAGACTCAGAAATATCTTCAGTGTTATGTTTCTAGAGACTTATTAAATACAATATTCAATATTCAATTAAATACAATATATGATTAACCAAGAAGCATGAGTGGATTTTGGTGAAACACCAGATGATGTGAAACAATGTGAGCATAAAGAGCTGAGCCAGGATTCCACTGCAGTTAATAAGGAGAGTGTGTTTACACTGTGATGCCACACAAAGGGTCTTTTTTGTGTTTTCATACTGTCCCACAAACATAATACCATCGAATGATTCCAATTAAACAAACTGTATCCAGGGATCAAACAGACCTTTGGGGACTTTGTATCCAGTCAAATGTAAGAAACTTCTAAAATATTTAAAAGCTTAACCGTCTCCGAATGCTGCCAACATTTGTCAGAAGAGTTTCTGCGGGAAACCGTTTCTAATTGGCTCCTCCAGTTAAAGCGATGGCGAGAGACCAGCTGCTCTCTCACAGGCGCCACATAACAGAGCGCCGGCATTCTTCCACAGACAGTCCGTCGTTCCTACAACCAGTCCCTGCTTTGCTCTCTGTGCTCCCTTCAACGTCCCTGAGGTAGTCATTAGTGGCCAACTGCAGCAAGACAGTGAGACGTGAGCATACACACACACACAGCATGAAACCAGACACACACACACACACACACACACACACACACGCATTCCAAGTACTTTGAACAGTGAGGAAGTGAATGAAGCCGACGCACAAACTTTTGTCAGTGCTGAGAACATAACTGAGACGACAGAAAACACAGCTGGAGACCCTGACCGAGCTCAACACACTCGCAGCAGTGCCTGCATTAAAACCGAAATGTATCTTTGGCTGTTCGTCCAGCTCTGCGTGTCCATCTTCCTCCAGATGTTGTTTTATTTTTACACACTGAATGATCAACCACCTTCCAAATCCTCTCAAATCTGTCCCTGCCCAACCTGTTCGCTCTGCCACACCTCACGACCAAACTACGAACGCTTTGGATTACAACACAAAAACAACCTGTGCCTACAATAAGCAAGTAATAAGCTCTGATCTCTGTTGTTGCTACTTCAAACTTTAGCACAACACACGTGTGCAAAGTGCAACAGCGACTCAGTGCTGAAAATTCTGGAAAACAGACTTTACTGCAGGAAAAGTTACTGTTGTGTTGCTATTGGTAACATTGTATAAAATTAGCTTCAGCTGACATTTTCAAGTTGACATGTGAAAAAACAAAAAGTAATTTATAAAACTACAGCATTCAATTCATCTTCAATAGTTTGAAGGTTTTCTGCAGAGAGACGAGGATGAAGAATAATCAGTGACTCTTAAAACATCACTGTGAGCCATGCTGGGTGTGAGCTGCTCAAATGTAAACTTTCACAGCATTAA